CCATTCTTAATTCTTTCATACTTTATAACCCCTTGTGTTTTAGTGGCTTTATTGCATTGCATGGGGTGATACTGATTAAAAAAAAACAAAAAAAAAAACAAACACCCCAAAAAACCATATATTTATATATCTAATATATGTTAGGTTCTTCAAGAATGGATTTAATAAAGGTCGGTTATGTAATGTGTTTTTGACATGTGTTTATAGTTGGTAACATTAGTAATCCCTCAAAGCACATTCGATGTAAAGAATTATGTTCTTTTTTAATTAAGGTAGTATTTGAAAAAAGTTATGGCCAGTTTTGTTCCTGTGTATTACGAGTGATTTTGAATAGTTGTCTAAATGTAAATTTTGTTTATGTTCATAGATACAGGATTTTAAATACCAGCATGTCACTCCAATATAAATGATTCTATATTGTAAGTAATTTATATGATAAGTACCAGCATCTGAATTGGTGTTGGATTTATTTTTCTTCCTAATTATATCTCCGATTGTCTTCGATGTGGTGGTAAAGATCCTAATATTAGGGATAACTAATTTACAAGTTTTGTAGAAAGAATGTTAGAGGGTAGGATTATGAATTTTGTGTTGTTGGTAGAAGTGTTATCGGTAGTGTCTAATTTTGGGGATCTGTGCATTTTGTAAGTTATTTTTTTTTTTTTTAAGCATTTCACCACTTTTTGCATGGTGGGAAGCCACTGGCACACAAGGGGGTTACAGAGGATTAGGAGTGATAGAGGAAAGGATAAGGAGAAGGATAGTGTATAGATCAAGGCAACTGGAGATGTCGATTGACATTACATTTGAAAAGTTGGAAATTATAGCTATCAGGGAAACAGGGAGTTCCACAGGCGAGAGGTGCAAGACATGAAGCTATTGGAATAGAGGAGACAGCTACATTTAACAGTTTCAACAGTGAAAGGGTGAGAAAAGGACGCCAGAATTCATGAATTTTGGGAACCAGCAAAAGCAGCTCATTGGAGCAATTACCATGAAAGTATTTGTAAAAAAGACAGAGAGAGGCAACAGAACATCTTTGAGAGAGTGACTGCAGACAAGATGCCAGATCAGGGCCAATTACATTGCATATCTGTCTCTGGAAGTTAAATAATTTAAATAATACTGATATTTTCAATGGCTGTTTGCTTGTTTCTGAGTATACCTTTTTCTAGGGTATCTAGCTAATAATACCTATTGCAGATGCCTTCTCAGGTACATGTGCATTTCTTCAATGCCCACAGAGCCAACATATGGCTTATACTGTGTGAAACCTTGTTACAGATTCTGAGAGAGAAGTGCATAATCTGACATAATCAGTGGTTAAACAAGGCCAGTACGTTCAAATCCTCAGTCCAGTCACAATGACTTGTGACTTTGTGCAAGCAATGGCTTCCAAAGAGTTTTGTTTATTCAATTTCACTCGCAAAGCCTGGTCACTTCCCAATGTTGCCACATGCTGGGAACATCTCTTTCAAAGCTGATACAACTAAGAAGTCACTCCTTTGAGAAATTGATCATCCAGATACAACCCTAGACTCTTATGGTCAGAACACTGACATTCTAACCAATCAGCAATATGCTCATCAATATTGATATCAAACTATCATAGTGATATATTGTAATAAATGTTATGTGATAGAAGATTCATTTTTATTGTAGATTTTAGCAGTCTCAATGTGATGTTTTTTTTTTCTTTCCTTAAGAACTTTAATTTTTTTTCATTAAAAAAGAAACGTTTTACAGCATCCCTAGGATGTACCTGAATTGCCATCATTAGTCTTGTACAAACAATTTTTTAGTGTGACCCTCAATAGGTACTAACTATAGATATGATGTATTTTTAAAAACAAAGTTTTATTTATCTTTTTATTTTTTTTATTAGAGGTGTGACACAAAATGACTCAACAGTATTAATACATAATGAAAACTGGGATTATTTACAGAAATCAACTATTAATACTCGATGAAGATCCAAAGCAAATTATTTCTTCAGTTGACAATAGAAAACTGAAAATGGAGAAAGTACACTTAAGGGGAGATAACTGTAATTTATTTGTAACTGTGGCTTCATATGAGATTAGACAGTTTCCCTTTCTTAATGAGATTTGGATTTTATGATTGCAGATATGACAGTCATTTTGACTTTGGTACCAACAGTTGGCATTAAATAAAAGACATTATAAAGTATATAGAGAGTATTAAATCAAACAGTAGCATCTGAATTGAAAGATTAGCCTTTTTCCAAAGATTTTTAAAAAATTTACTTTTAGATGCCTAATAAAAGCTGCGGGACTTTCTGACTGCCCCCACAAATTTAATTTTGCACTTTTTTCCTCAGAGTTCAAACAGTAAACTGTAATTATACTTGGTTCAGGTTTTTTGAACAGACACTTTAATGATATAATGTATTTTGATTTGGTTTAGCAACATATCAACCTCTATGGATTATTTAAATGTTGAAATTTAAATATTTTGAACAAAGTTTTATGGCTTCAACTAAACATAGATATACGAGGACTTCATCACATGCTAATATCAGAAAGTGTAACCAAAAACTTAAAACAAATGCGGTCCATGAATTGTCATCACCGTGTGGAGTTTGAATTTTTGCCTATTGTAATGAATGGATGCATTTGAGCACTTCTTGAAACTTAAGCTCAACCTAGACCTCAAGTGGAATTCGTACATACAATCCAATGCCAAAGATGCTGGCAAAAATGGTCGGTTCTCTGTAACACTCCAGTAAATAGCTGACTTCTGCTATCCTTTACCATTACAAGACCAATATCAGGTCAAAAATGAAGTACTGCTGCCATATATGGACAGGAGCTGTATAAGTAAATTTTTTTGTTTCAAATAAACATTTATAAACAAATACATGAATTATTTCATTATTAAAAGGCTTATGAGCTTCTTATAGGAGCCAATGGCCAACACACACACATTATATATATATATATATATATATATATATATATATAAATAGTTATACTCGTTTGGAAAAACCTTAGGTATTTTGGCTTGTAATTGAACAAACCAATGCCCAAGGGAAAATAAAGGATAAAAAAAGAAATAACTAAGACCATGAAATTGAGGCGAAAACAATCGTCCAGAATTCAAGCTCAGAGTACAAAGAAAAGTACCTCCAAAACGAGTAAAGCAAAAGTAACTATGTAAAGTGCTCAATATGCTAAGTAGCGCAAACCTAAATATGAACCTAAAGAGCCAGGCAAACCTACCTAGGTTTCACCTATACGGATCGTCGGTTGACCCTGACGATCCGTATAGGTGAAACCTAAAATTTAATTTAAATTCTTATATATATATATATATATATACACACACACACACACACACACACACATATATATATATATATATATATATATATATATATATAAAACAAATTAAGTCAAACTTACATCTAAACTGAAAAAGTTAGCCTTCTTCCAAAGATATTTTTTAAAACTTACTTAGATGACAAATATGGGGTAGGGGGGCGGATTTTGTTGCAAGCTTCTCACTAGTCTATTATTTCCATGGAAAATGTTATGGTGAACTGTATTATGTAGTTACACCTGTCTGAAACTTCATGGCTAAGACTTGCCATGCTATGCACATTATAACGACCCACCCTCATTTGCTTTGTAATTCCAACAGGTGAGACTTAAGTTTCACTCCAGCAGTTTCTTCCCACTAACAACTGCATTGTGGAACCATCTCCCAAGAGGATGCTTCCCTGATCACTACAATGAATAACCTGTTCAAGTCTAGGGTTAACCAGTATCTCTTCACATATTCCCATGAACTGTGTCACTCATTGGGCCTTGTACAGGGTGAAAATTAGAGGCTTACTTATCTGGAGAAGGTCTTTCATAATAATAATTCAAATAACACATGTGCATTGATTATACAAACACTACATTATCACACCATTTAATATGCCACTTATCCAATAATAATAATTATTAATTGGTATGACAATGTAATGTTTTTGTGATATACAATATAATTGAATTGCAATTTACCAACCAACTTAATAAAAGTAATCTGCTGAATCTTTATTAAAAACATAAAAATACTATATCATGTTTAGTAAAATGACCACAAATCATAGAAGTATTAAAAATTAACCCAACATCAGTAAAATTTTATCAAATTTGAAAAGAAACATTCTTCAGTGCTAAAAAAGAACAGCCCACCCCCCAAAAAACCCTAGCATGATGTGCAAAGACATTATATATGAAAAAAGACAAAACTGATATTGTACAAAAAACACACTTTTCAATAAAAAAAATTATCTGATAATGACTTATGTAAACTGACATTGGACAATTTACCAAATTTCATTGTAAACTAGGAAAATGTTTCAAAATGTAGGAAAAGAAATTCTTAAAAAAATTTTGTTGGTTTTTTATAAAAAAATGACGTTTATTGTAATAAGGAATAATGTTAGATTAAAAATTACTGTATTTTGTAGAAATAATTTTATTAAAGTCAAATGTTGCTTGTCACTGTAAACAATTTTTTTATTAATATTTCTAGTTTCAGTCAAAGTATATATATATATATATATATATATAAATAAAGTATATTGAGATATATATAATTATTTTTTTTTCTACAGATCATTGAAGAATAAATACCCAGGAAAAAAAAAAGCCTGAACCAACAAAAAAAATAAAATGGATATAAAATATACAGAAGAGACAACCAAAGTGTATTACTTCAAATACATGCGTGAATATCGAGCTGTTGCTGTTTTATGGGGCATTTTGACCATCATTTGGTGCATTCTAAACATTGTTGTGTTTGTTCAACCACAGTGGATTGGTGATACGGAAAGCAGTGTGGGATTTGGTCATTTTGGAATTTACTCTCATTGCTTTCCCTCTTCAGCCAAATATGTCTGTGTGGGATCATTTACAGAGTTTACTACCATTTCGAACAGTGCATTCAAGGCGGTCACCTTCTTTGTTGGAATTTCGGCCCTCCTCATGTTGATTTGTGTAGCAGCTCTGCTCCTTTTCTTTTGTTTCAAGAAAGTTTTCATTTTCGTTCTCTGTGGTATCTTGGAAATTATTTCAGGTAAATAAAAGCCGTTTTATATATTTCCTTTTCCTAATGTACTGGTGAATAATAATAATAATAATAATAACCTAACCAACAAAAACAAAAAAAAAAAATGCATTCACTTTCACACAAATGCTCTTGGCAAAGGCATAAATCCAGGTCTTCTTTCATTTATGGATTAAATAGCAGAGTAGACTGCATTCTCTTGGCCTGGGTGGCAACCAGTCTAGAAGGAAAACTGAGGAATGCAATAGAAGACCATTCCACTATCTCCCTACCCCCACTAAAAAATAAAAGTATCCCTGCCTATGTCCTGAAGAAACATGGTATTAAAAAAAAAATTAATCAAACAAAAAACATGTGTTCTCTTCCATCCAAATACCCTTGCCGTAAAAAAAAAAAAAAAAATACAAATCCTCATATCCTTTCAGTTATAAATTAAAATAATAATAATAAAAACATAAAAAATAAACATTAAATTAAATAGTAGCATAGACTGCCTAATAAAAATATTCCAAAATCAACCTACCCTATTAGGGCAGGTTGATTTTGGAATCGTGGAATTGCACTAAATTTGAAAGTTGGGCTTTTACATGATAAATAATGAGACAAAATATTTTTTCCAAATCATAACCGTTTTTTTTGAGAAAATGACTTTGAAGATCAAGCTTAAGTTCAAAATTATAGCATTTAAATTACATTCTGTTAATTAGTGAAAGCCTTTATAACAGCCTTATAAAATTTATAATTTACTGAGGCTTTACAAATTGTATATGGACAAGATGCATGGCAAAAGCACATTAGTACTAAATCATTGTGCTATCAAATAAGACATTTATTTACTTCAAAAGGGAAATTATACTGAAAATTTGAATATACTATGGTGCAATAGTTTTAGTGTGATTTTCAATAAACAATGCAAATTTAAAGTATTTTGTCTTATGGTTTGTGCCCAGCAGTACTATGGTGTTATATACACGTTTATCTATTTTGGTGTTTTTACTAATTATGACGTAACAAATCTTATTTATTGAGTAGCCTTTTTTGTAATCTTGGACAATTTTTTAAAAAATTGTTTTTACTTATAAAATACAGTGTAAAAAAAAATAAATGCATCTTTTTCTTGTGGTGATAAATTAAAATTCTGGTTTGAATGTATATTCAATGTATCTAATACAAAAATATCAACCTTATTTGTATTTATTCTTGAAATAGTAAAATTTTAAAATCAGTTTGTAAGTAAAAACCTGTAGAAATTAAGTATGTCTGTACATTCTTTTCAGATGATTTTTAAAATTAAATGCTCAAGAATTGGTAAAAGCTATGAATCTAATCTTTGGCGTCAATACTTATCACATCAAACCCCATCTTTCATACAGAATCTTAACCTCTTCAAGTCTAGAGTTAACCATTATTTTTCCTCCTTGCCCCTTTTTTATGCTAACACCATACAGTAACCCTCTACCTTAAGTGGTTCTTGGGCCTTCATTTAGAGTGACAAGCAACATTTCGGATTCATGTCATTGGCACTGTGACTACTCTTCAACTGCTTTTTCACATTCCAAGCAATGAATAAGGCGGCTTATTTTGATCTTATATATTTTTCTACTACAATTGTCATTGGTAGCAATGTCTCATGTGCTTCTAATTCACACAAATGCTAAATATTAAGGGAAAACAATTTGCAGGTACACAAAATTCCACAGTATTCCATAAAGTTGCCGCTTTTTTGATAAATACTTTCTTGGTAATTGTTCGGATGAGTTCTTTGCTATGGTACCTAGACTTTATGAATTTAAATGCACTACTAGATTGGCAGCAAGGTCTCATCAATTCATAGTTGAATTGACTAGATATAAGCATAAGTTCTATGTTAAGAGTTTATTTTCTGGTACTTCTCGTTTGTGGAACTCCCTTCTAGTTCCATGCTTCCCAGCCAACTTTGATCTTAAAAGAAATTAAATGCATTATCTTCTGTTTTCTTGTCCTTTTATTGTTCTCACTTCAATAATGTTTTGTGTTTCTCAGATTCTCTCACACTCAGTAAACCATTTAATCTTAGTGGCTTGTCTTGCTTGGAGTAAAATGATTAAAAAAAACATTCAACATGTTGACTATTTGTCACATTACCAATTAATACATTGTACCCTTTTCTCTCGGTAATGCTTGTATTAATTACTGGCCAATCATTTGACTTTCTGTGCATTTCTACAAGAAAATCATTTATAATGCATCACTATAATACAATTATTTGCAACTAGTTTTTAGCCTATGAAAATTTCATGGTTTTCCTATTTGAGATTTCTGATGAATCTTAATTCTTCAGTTAATGATGGAATAAGCTCATAGCATATTCTATAACAATAAAATATGTGTTGAAATTCCCCTGAGGCATTGTTAAATATTTGAGCTTAACAATAAAATATTGTAATAACAGGCATAAATGTGAATTATTTTAAGTAAGGAGGTAAAAATGAAAAGGTCTGAAATTGACAACTTTCCATTTCACTGAAACAGACGTTAAAAACTTTTGTCCCCCCCCACTGAAACCAAGTAGTGTGTCTGATATGTCTTGTCTTTTTATGTGATCAAAACAGAATAGTCCATTATTTATGAGGTATTGACAGGGTGTAACGGTCGTGCAAACTAATGAAGGGAGGAACACATACAATTATTATAAGATTCTTGAATTGAGTTTAAATAGTAAATACATTAACATTGTGCACATAATAGTCATATTCTGATTGCGACACTTATATTAAGTCATAGCTATTTATTTATATTCGGACTATTGTCTTTGTATCCTACGGCAATGCTACTAAAACTGGTGGTCCATAGATTGGTGATGGTATGCGAACCATGCAGCCAGTGTCTAGGCCATGTTAAAGAATCATTTGAAGCTTATTTTTTTTATTACTTTTTATATGTTTTGATATTGAATTACTTTTTTCCAAAATAAATGGAAGATAAAAAAAATAGTCAACTTTCATTATATTAATTACTAGCAGTAGAGCCTGGCGTTGCCTGGGGATGTAACAGTAAGAGATAGATCAAGTATCAACCATCATAAAGACTGAAAAATAAAATTGAGAAAAATTATTGTTTAAGGTTGATGGACACGCATGTCTTAATTAGTTTTTTTTTTTTTTTTTTTTTTTTTTTTTTTTTTTTTTTTTTTACGAATTGGTCAAACCCAAACTCAAACAAAAACATTATGAGTCTACTGATTGAATAGAATTTTATTATAAACAATTGTCTTGTAAATGGAATTTTTAAAGCATTCTGAATGCAAAAATAAAGAAAAAAGTGTGCAGGACAATAAGAAACACTACTTGTCAAAAAAAAAAAAAAAAAAAAAAAAGTTTTGTTGAAATCGGTTGAAAAATGTAGGAAATCCGATCCCATATATAAACGAACACACACACACACACACACAAACAACCTGGGTTTTAAAATAAGTATAACTCGATATGAGTTGTCCCCCTTTCATTCTCACAATGCCTCTTAATCGTGTTTTTCCAATTTTTGGCATTGTCAGAACCACCTTGCGGTGGTTCTGACAATGCCAAAAATAGTCTTGTGAAGTTTTCTGACAGTCTTGTGAAGTTTTATTGAAATGGGTTGAAAAATGTAGGAAATCCGATCCAATATATAAACGTACAGACACACACAAACAGGGTTTTATAATAAGTATGATGATATATATAATTTCTAGTATAAATTAATATTACCACGAAATAATACAGGTACGTGGCACATTGAGAAAAAAAAATGCCTGTTTGTTATATCAGATAGTTTGAGAAGCACTGTCCTATGGCTTTCCTCAGGTGTAATCTGGGTAATCTACAGGAAATTCTGAACTGAACCCTTTATTTAATCTACAGGATATCATCTAGTTCTTATGCTATTATAGTATTGTTCATTTCTACTGAGTACACACTGCCTGATCCAGGGATTGAACTTATAAACAAATTCACAAAAGCTACACTTTTACCCACTAGGCCATTGTCCGATAGGAAAATTTGCTGTAGTAAATCACTGTTGCAGGCCGTCAGCTTTTGACTGCTGCTGATGCTGCAGTTGAAGACTTGCTGTCATTTGTTTTTTTTTCTTATTAGTAACTTATAACTACTAAAAAATATTTGTTCTTCCCGGTTTTCAAAGTACAACAAACAAATTAAGCTTTTTCTTTTGTTACAGCGATCTTGATGTTCCTGGGTTGTGTAATTTATCCAAGTGGATGGGATGACGATAATGTACAAGCCCTGTGTGGAAAAGATGCTGGAGAATTCAAACTTGGAGATTGTGGTATGCGTTGGGCATATATACTAGCCATTCTTGGCATTGTGGATGCAGCTCTGCTAGCCATCTTGGCTTTCATCCTGGCTAGTAAACGCACCAAACCAACTAATTCCTACTACACTGGCAAAATTACTAAAGGTAAGATGTTTTTATTTTCTTCTTCCCTTTACCAACTCCAGGTCGAGATACGGGTTGTAGACTAGACTTAAAGGAACCGTGAACTTTTACTGAGTTTCTAGTTTATTTTAGGAAGAACTGATTTAGAATTTAGATTGTCTCGAAGTGTGAGAAGAATTATTAACATTTTCAGTTTTCACCAGTGGTATGTGTGCATCTGATAGAATTTTTAGTTTAATTTTGATCTGAAATTTTCACTGTATAATAATCAATCCGTTTTATTGATGGAAGAGTTAAGTGCATTGACAAAGAAGGAGACTATGCAGAAAAATAAATATTTATTATAATAGTTGTTGGTGAGGCATTTTTTCAGAGTTATTGATATATATATATATATATATATATAAGTTTTATATTTAGGCAACAATCTTTCGTTTATGCATGTTTCATTAAAAATGACGGACAAAGTACTACGGTTAAGCTTTTAATTTCCGTATACGGTTAGCATATTGTGGCTTTGTTCGTAGTTAATATTGTTAAGAGTTGGCTTTGTCTTTTTAATGTTTCCCATTCATTAAGCAAATATTGTAAGCTATTATTTAAACAGCTTTTGTTGTTAACTTTGCTTTAAAAAAAAAAAAAATTCTTATTTATCCTTCAACTTTTCTTGCAGATGTTTACAACCTAATTTTCAATCTCTTTTCTTTATTTTCTCTTTACCAGCTGAGCTGTACCCTAATTACATGACTGATACAATACGCTCCCACGGGACCATCATTCGACCAACCATGATGACCGTACCAGACAGCAATGAGTGTTATTCAGAATATTCACAACAGTCGGGAAATAGAAAATCACTGATTAGTTCAGGCTTCCAACTATAATCAACACAAGACTAAATATTCTCCTTTCTTCCTAAAATAACAACAACGTCAAGATATAAAAAAAAAAAAAAAAGCAAAGAAAAGCCAAGGTAGAAGACATAATATAAGAGCCAATGAAATATTCCAAAAGAATCCCTTATATACATGGAATATGAGTGGGTAATTGAATGACAATATGGGAAAAAAAAATCCTATATTCTTCAGTCTAAATGTTTTTATGGATGGAATCAAATATATATTTTATTACTTTTAACATTATTTTTCAGTGGATATTTATATTTGAGTAGACACTGTTTATTTTAAGCAGCATTTTATTTCATATTTCAGCCTGAATATTTGAGAAACCTTATTAAAGAAAAATGTGCCATCTGGCAGTATTCAAACCTGCAAGAGCAGAAGAACCCGTTGTTAAAAATGATGGCCTTTAACCAATTCAACTACAAAGAGTGTTGTGACTCATTAAGGTTGTATATTGCCCTTAAGCACGGCTTCCACATTTAGATTCTTGAAAGTCTATAACGGCTCAGTTTTGTCTTCAAAACACTATATATATATATATATATATATATATATATATATATATATATATATATATATGTGTGTGTGTGTGTGAAAAGTGTATATAAATATAAATAAATATATATATATGTATAATTATTTATATATTATATGCGCTTGTGCTTTTGTCTGACGATCGCTAAAGTGTGAAACCCAGGGTCACAAACTCACATCTATCCAACCAAATATATATATATATATATATATATATATATATAATATATATATATATAAATATAGAAAACTAGAGGGAATGAAAATATAAATGTTGGTTACAATTAAACATTGAGAGAAAGGCTGAATTTGCAGGGATACTGAACTTTAAACTTTAGGTTTTGGGTGTCTAATGTGTCTAGATGTACGACCTAGCAGACTTCATTCAGTTTTTTTTTACAACTTTTGTTTTTAATCACAATTGTTTGTAAATATTCCACATTGTAATAGCAGTGGTTTTGTTAAGAAATGTAAAATGCTGTATGAAGCAGGACACCAGAAATCTAAAATTAAGAATCTTCAACATTTCTCTTATGGCTAATGTTTGTTTATCTTTTTGTTTCCACACTTGATGTATATAAAAACATTATTTAGACTAAAGAAGTTCTTTTGAAGGATGAAATCTGTTACAAAGGATTTTTACCATTTTCTCATTCAATTACCAGACTTTAGTTTGATATAAAGAATTTATATATTTTCCCAGGAATATAGGCTAATGTATTGAAGAGTATTGGGCAAAGAAATTTAAAATATTTGTTCAAATATTTCTAGTTAATTTGGTAAACTGCATATGTATAGTGCCACCAGTTTAGACCTTTACAGCAAGGAACTTTCATGCCACATACACAGGGTTCCTTTCTTATACCATTAGTAGGGAGGAAGTTCCATATAGCTTCTTACAAAGAACCATTACTTTCTGGGACAGACTTCAGAGAGGATGCTTCCCTCAATCACTACAACAATTGACCTTTATCACTCTGTATGTGACTTCATTTGCTGTGCAAAAAAATTTATCCTGTCACTGAAGGTAACTGATTTCTGGATTTGAATTTGTTTGAATTTCATAGTTGTGTTGTCATATCCTTCTATGGCAACAGAAAAGAACTGAGTGAAAATAACAATAAGGGAACTGCAATTGAGAGGCCTTGAAAAAGAATGTAGTGCAAAGGCAAGTAATATTAATGGAGAGGGCTAAAGGTTAACCTCTTCAAGTCTAGGGTCAACAGTTATCTATGCTACATATCCTCATAATCTGTACATACTTCCTTACCTTACATCCATACAACAACCTAATTCAGTAACCCTTTACCTTGGGTGGCTCTTAGTAAAATGGATGTGAGGTTGGGGTTATTCATTATTTTTTAAGCATGTGTTATATTCACTGCTGAAATTGGATGGTTTGAATAAGACAATAAATAGGAAAGTAAATCTAAGATGAAATAAATACTAAAATTAAAAGTTGATGAATTCATATACAGTATTACAGATATATTGATTGAAAAGAGATGACGATGATGATTCGTCATCTTAGAAGTTCAGACAGTGAAAAGCAATATAAATTCTGAAGTGACATTACATTGAAAAATATCATAAATGTGTGTTCGTTGGGGTTACATTTATATTCTTTATATCAATTCAATAAACATTCAATAACGCAGAAAGAGAATTACACCAAGTCTTCATTTAAAACAGTTTAAAACAATTTTGATGTGCTAATTTACAGATCAAAAAAAAGAAAGATATTATGCAATAAATACCACCATATTTGACAGCATTTTTGGGATTTATATAATCTTTTGAACAATGTCACCTTCGCATTTGTTGATCAAATGTTGTTTGCCGAAAAAGCAGATTTTTTAGACTTTGTACACCATGATAAAAGAATTATTTTTAAAGTATGAATATCGGCAATTTAAAAGGAAAAGAACCCCCCCACCACTTATTCTAAAATTTTGACTAACCTATTCTTAATAACCAATATTAATTTTTTTTACATATATAAAAAAAAAAATAATTATCCTTTGATATTTTATGCTTTTTTTTTTTTGACTTTACAAACATAAATGCCTATTTTTTTAAAAAAGGTCTTTTTACACTATCACGTGCTATCTATCCTGAAAATATACGAATTGGTTTTAAACAACAGACATTTTATGACTATATTTAATGATCATTTTTTTTTTATAATGTACAAATATTCATTTTCAACTGTGATTGTTGTGTATGGATAAATTGGGCAAAAGCCGTAATGTGTTGTCCCCAAACTTCTGATTCACAATTTTGGGAGGTGGGGTAGAAAATGAAAGTAAATAGCATCATTATTCTTTGAAAAGCAGCAACTCATGTGACACCAACATGTAATAATGTGTTTGGAATAATATTTGTTTTTTAATGCATTGACAAATGCAGGAAATTCTTGAAGGTTATATATATGTAAAGAAAAAAGATAGTTTCAAAAAAAGTTGCATTTGTTTTAGTTTTCAGAAAATAATGGCACAATCTTCTTTAAAACAGTTCATTTTATCTTCTCCTGCTGATGTGATTTGAAAACTTGGAATACACCACATGATTTTGAGCCAATTTATCTACATACAACAACAGCCACATTTCTGAAAGGGAATTTATATATATAAGAAAAATATATTAAATATAACAGACAGAAAATGTTTAATAATGAATTTAAATTGGTTTTAGTGTTGTAAGAAGTAAATTAAGCACTTTTGTACTTAGATAAAAAAAATAAATTACCACATCAAAAGAAATATGTCAGTGATTAAAGATTTGTTTTTATTCTTTTGGATTTATAAATTTTCTTTTTCTTACATTAAACATCAATTGCTGCATTGTAACAAAAATTTCACTTTTAATTTTTTTTTCTTTGGATGCAAAATATGATTTTGACTTTTAAAAAATTAAAGTAAAAAATTAATTGAAAAACACTTAAATTTAAAATTAGCAACAATCATTAAAGTTATATAAGCTCTGTTATATAACACTGAGCTGTGTTTTAATACACCTAAGAAAAAAATCTATATACATGCAAGTATATGTATGATTATTTTTATCATACCCATATCTCTCTCTCTCTCTCTCTCTCTCTCTCTCTCTCAGATATTTTATGGTAATATAATGTGATATAAAAACAATTTTGAGTTATTTTCTTGAAGACTAAGCATTTCTTTTCAGAATCAAGAAATACATTTTTTTTTTTTCAATAATCTTATAATTGAGTTTTTTGGGAAAAGGGTGGCCAGATACTAAAAATTCTAGGAATAGGCATATGTCTGAGCTTATTTGTAGTCCAAATTTCTGTCTAAAAAATTTGTGTTGAAAGTGAAATATCATTGGTTTGTAATGAGAAGACATATTCCTATAATTTTGTCTGTTGGCAGTGAAAGATTGATTGACTTTTTTTTTAAAACGTCTTTTTTGGACTAGTAATGGGTCCACTGCTTAGTAGAGCACTGGCATGCCTCTCCAGAGAATTTTTTAAAATCTGGTCAATCATATAGATGTAATGATGCTTAAAAGTTAGTTGTTATAAAAAAAAAAATAAAATATTAAAGCAAAATTAATCATTATTTTTCAAGTTGTTGAAGGAGAGAGAAGAATAATGAAACTAAAAAATTCATCATATTCTGCATGCCAGAGACGTAAATAGACAGGCAATGTAAGAAAGAAAATAAATCAAAGAGTTATCTACTTTGAATAAAAACTGCCACAACACAATAATTGGATTTATATAACGACAATAAAAATCTTTTACTTTTTTTTTTACTGTATTTTGATATAAATAAACTTTTGGCCAATTTTTGGAGTGTATGTGTTTTTATTTTACTTTGATAATCACCCTTGTTTCTCCTAAATTGATTTTTAAAATGAAGCACTGACAATAGTTATTGATTTTTCAATTACCATATTTTCTTGTGTGTAATATAAGAAATTTTGAACAAAAATTTAAGGCACATAAGGGGGGGGGTCATATTATACACAAGTATACGTTTTCAAAAATGTTCACTCAGCTTAAAAAACCTCTCATTTGAAACAGCAAGATTTCAAATAGCAAAATCTATATATATATATATATATATATATATATATATATTTTATATTTATATATATATATATATATATATATATATATATATATATATATATATATATATATTTATATATATATATATATTTATATTTATATATATATTTATATATATATATATATATATATATATATATATCTAAAATTCTGTTTGTCTGTCACACCCTCTAAAATAACCATACATTGACCAATTGAAACCAAATTTTGGGGGAGAAGTACTAACATCTAAGAGGGTATAAAATACAGCTGGTTTTACTAGGGTGCATAGCTTAGTACAATAAATTTTTATTCATTTAAAAAAAAAAATTAAAATTTTAACAAAAGATTGGTTTGTGAAATTGAACAAAAC